GCTAGCGACAGTTAGGCTAGTAACAGTTAGGCTAGTAACAGTTAGGCTAGTAACAGTTAGGCTAGTAACAGTTAGGCTAGTAACAGTTAGGCTAGTAACAGTTAGGCTAGTGACAGTTAGGCTAGTAACAGTTAGGCTAGTAACAGTTAGGCTAGTAACAGTTAGGCTAGTAACAGTTAGGCTAGTAACAGTTAGGCTAGTGACAGTTAGGCTAGTAACAGTTAGGCTAGTGACAGTTAGGCTAGTAACAGTTAGGCTAGTGACAGTTAGGCTAGTAACAGTTAGGCTAGTAACAGTTAGGCTAGTAACAGTTAGGCTAGTAACAGTTAGGCTAGTAACAGTTAGGCTAGTAACAGTTAGGCTAGTAACAGTTAGGCTAGTAACAGTTAGGCTAGTAACAGTTAGGCTAGTGACAGTTAGGCTAGTAAACAGTTAGGCTAGTGACAGTTAGGCTAGTGACAGTTAGGCTAGTAACAGTTAGGCTAGTAACAGTTAGGCTAGCAACAGTTAGGCTAGTGACAGTTAGGCTAGTGACAGTTAGGCTAGTAACAGTTAGGCTAGTGACAGTTAGGCTAGTAACAGTTAGGCTAGTGACAGTTAGGCTAGTAACAGTTAGGCTAGTAACAGTTAGGCTAGTAACAGTTAGGCTAGTGACAGTTAGGCTAGTAACAGTTAGGCTAGTAACAGTTAGGCTAGTAACAGTTAGGCTAGTAACAGTTAGGCTAGTAACAGTTAGGCTAGTAACAGTTAGGCTAGTAACAGTTAGGCTAGTGACAGTTAGGCTAGTAACAGTTAGGCTAGTGACAGTTAGGCTAGTAACAGTTAGGCTAGTAACAGTTAGGCTAGTAACAGTTAGGCTAGTGACAGTTAGGCTAGTAACAGTTAGGCTAGTAACAGTTAGGCTAGTAACAGTTAGGCTAGTAACAGTTAGGCTAGTAACAGTTAGGCTAGTAACAGTTAGGCTAGTAACAGTTAGGCTAGTGAACAGTTAGGCTAGTAACAGTTAGGCTAGTGACAGTTAGGCTAGTGACAGTTAGGCTAGTAACAGTTAGGCTAGTAACAGTTAGGCTAGTAACAGTTAGGCTAGTAACAGTTAGGCTAGTAACAGTTAGGCTAGTGACAGTTAGGCTAGTAACAGTTAGGCTAGCAACAGTTAGGCTAGTAACAGTTAGGCTAGTGACAGTTAGGCTAGTAACAGTTAGGCTAGTGACAGTTAGGCTAGTGACAGTTAGGCTAGTGACAGTTAGGCTAGTAACAGTTAGGCTAGTGACAGTTAGGCTAGTGACAGTTAGGCTAGTAACAGTTAGGCTAGTAACAGTTAGGCTAGTAACAGTTAGGCTAGTAACAGTTAGGCTAGTAACAGTTAGGCTAGTAATAGTGTCAGTTAGGCTAGTAACAGTTAGGCTAGTAACAGTTAGGCTAGTAACAGTTAGGCTAGTAACAGTTAGGCTAGTAACAGTTAGGCTAGTAACAGTTAGGCTAGTAACAGTTAGGCTAGTAACAGTTAGGCTAGTAACAGTTAGGCTAGTAACAGTTAGGCTAGTACAGTTAGGCTAGTAACAGTTAGGCTAGTGACAGTTAGGCTAGTAACAGTTAGGCTAGTAACAGTTAGGCTAGTAACAGTTAGGCTAGTAACAGTTAGGCTAGTAACAGTTAGGCTAGTAACAGTTAGGCTAGTAACAGTTAGGCTAGTAACAGTTAGGCTAGTAACAGTTAGGCTAGTAACAGTTAGGCTAGTAACAGTTAGGCTAGTAACAGTTAGGCTAGAACAGTTAGGCTAGAACAGTTAGGCTAGTAACAGTTAGGCTAGTAACAGTTAGGCTAGTAACAGTTAGGCTAGTAACAGTTAGGCTAGTAACAGTTAGGCTAGTAACAGTTAGGCTAGTGACAGTTAGGCTAGTGACAGTTAGGCTAGTGACAGTTAGGCTAGTGACAGTTAGGCTAGTAACAGTTAGGCTAGTAACAGTTAGGCTAGTAACAGTTAGGCTAGTAACAGTTAGGCTAGTAACAGTTAGGCTAGTAACAGTTAGGCTAGTAACAGTTAGGCTAGTAACAGTTAGGCTAGTAACAGTTAGGCTAGTAACAGTTAGGCTAGTAACAGTTAGGCTAGTAACAGTTAGGCTAGTAACAGTTAGGCTAGTAACAGTTAGGCTAGTAACAGTTAGGCTAGTAACAGTTAGGCTAGTAACAGTTAGGCTAGTAACAGTTAGGCTAGTAACAGTTAGGCTAGTAACAGTTAGGCTAGTAACAGTTAGGCTAGTACAGTTAGGCTAGTAACAGTTAGGCTAGTAACAGTTAGGCTAGTAACAGTTAGGCTAGTAACAGTTAGGCTACAGTAGGCTAGACAGTTAGGCTAGTAACAGTTAGGCTAGTAACAGTTAGGCTAGTAACAGTTAGGCTAGTAACAGTTAGGCTAGTAACAGTTAGGCTAGTAACAGTTAGGCTAGTAACAGTTAGGCTAGTAACAGTTAGGCTAGTAACAGTTAGGCTAGTAACAGTTAGGCTAGTAACAGTTAGGCTAGTAACAGTTAGGCTAGTAACAGTTAGGCTAGTAACAGTTAGGCTAGTAACAGTTAGGCTAGTAACAGTTAGGCTAGTAACAGTTAGGCTAGTAACAGTTAGGCTAGTAACAGTTAGGCTAGTAACAGTTAGGCTAGTAACAGTTAGGCTAGTAACAGTTAGGCTAGTAACAGTTAGGCTAGTAACAGTTAGGCTAGTAACAGTTAGGCTAGTAACAGTTAGGCTAGTAACAGTTAGGTTAGTAGTAACAGTTAGGCTAGTAACAGTTAGGCTAGTAACAGTTAGGCTAGTAACAGTTAGGCTAGTAACAGTTAGGCTAGTAACAGTTAGGCTAGTAACAGTTAGGCTAGTAACAGTTAGGCTAGTAACAGTTAGGCTAGTAACAGTTAGGCTAGTAACAGTTAGGCTAGTAACAGTTAGGCTAGTAACAGTTAGGCTAGTAACAGTTAGGCTAGTAACAGTTAGGCTAGTAACAGTTAGGCTAGTAACAGTTAGGCTAGTAACAGTTAGGCTAGTAACAGTTAGGCTAGTAACAGTTAGGCTAGTAACAGTTAGGCTAGTAACAGTTAGGCTAGTAACAGTTAGGCTAGTAACAGTTAGGCTAGTAACAGTTAGGCTAGTAACAGTTAGGCTAGACAGTTAGGCTAGTAACAGTTAGGCTAGTAACAGTTAGGCTAGTAACAGTTAGGCTAGTAACAGTTAGGCTAGTAACAGTTAGGCTAGTAACAGTTAGGCTAGTAACAGTTAGGCTAGTAACAGTTAGGCTAGTAACAGTTAGGCTAGTAACAGTTAGGCTAGTAACAGTTAGGCTAGTAACAGTTAGGCTAGTAACAGTTAGGCTAGTAACAGTTAGGCTAGTAACAGTTAGGCTAGTGACAGTTAGGCTAGTGACAGTTAGGCTAGTAACAGTTAGGCTAGTAACAGTTAGGCTAGTAACAGTTAGCTAGTCGTAGTAACAGTTAGGCTAGTAACAGTTAGGCTAGTAACAGTTAGGCTAGTAACAGTTAGGCTAGTAACAGTTAGGCTAGTAACAGTTAGGCTAGTGACAGTTAGGCTAGTAACAGTTAGGCTAGTAACAGTTAGGCTAGTGACAGTTAGGCTAGTAACAGTTAGGCTAGTGACAGTTAGGCTAGTAACAGTTAGGCTAGTAACAGTTAGGCTAGTAACAGTTAGGCTAGTAACAGTTAGGCTAGTAACAGTTAGGCTAGTGACAGTTAGGCTAGTAACAGTTAGGCTAGTAACAGTTAGGCTAGTAACAGTTAGGCTAGTATCAGTTAGGCTAGTAACAGTTAGGCTAGTAACAGTTAGGCTAGTAACAGTTAGGCTAGTAACAGTTAGGCTAGTAACAGTTAGGCTAGTAACAGTTAGGCTAGTAACAGTTAGGCTAGTAACAGTTAGGCTAGTAACAGTTAGGCTAGTAACAGTTAGGCTAGTAACAGTTAGGCTAGTGACAGTTAGGCTAGTAACAGTTAGGCTAGTAACAGTTAGGCTAGTGACAGTTAGGCTAGTGACAGTTAGGCTAGTAACAGTTAGGCTAGTATCAGTTAGGCTAGTAACAGTTAGGCTAGTAACAGTTAGGCTAGTAACAGTTAGGCTAGTGACAGTTAGGCTAGTGACAGTTAGGCTAGTAACAGTTAGGCTAGTAACAGTTAGGCTAGTATCAGTTAGGCTAGTAACAGTTAGGCTAGTAACAGCTAGGCTAGTATCAGTTAGGCTAGTAACAGTTAGGCTAGTATCAGTTAGGCTAGTAACAGTTAGGCTAGTAACAGCTAGGCTAGTATCAGTTAGGCTAGTAACAGTTAGGCTAGTAACAGTTAGGCTAGTATCAGTTAGGCTAGCAACTTCAAAACTAAAACTCTACATGAAAACTGAACAGAGAACACAGAACATCAGCGGTGAGAGACCCAAATATAAACTTAACCTAAATCCATCAGATCCAAATGTTCCTAAAATGTTGAACTAATGTTAATAGTTACTTGTCGCATTAAAACAGTATTTTTATCATGAAAACGCGAACAGATAATTCTGAAAATGTGTGTTATGAATGTGTATGTATAATGTGTTCTAGCATTAACATAAATGTGTTGTTGATTGGTATTATTTTCAACACCATCCAGCCGAGGCTTCTCAGGGACAAGCTGGAGACAGCTGGAGTGGACTACGACCTGTCCCAGTGGATCCTGGACTACCTCACAGACAGACCCCAGTTTGTGAGAACCAGGGACTACGTGTCTGAGGTCCTGACCTGCAGTGTGGGGGCCCCCCAGGGGACAGTCCTCGCACCGTTCCTCTTCAGCCTCTACACTGCGGACTTCAGACACAACACGGACGGTTGTGTTCTACAGAAGTTCTCTGACGACTCTGCCATCATCGGACTCAGCTCCGAGGACGATGACGCAGAGTACAGAAGAGTTATACAGAACTTTGTGGACTGGTGTCAGCGGAACCACCTCCTCATCAACGTGAGGAAGACCAAGGAGATGAACCACCTCCTCATCAACGTGAGGAAGACCAAGGAGATGAACCACCTCCTCATCAACGTGAGGAAGACCAAGGAGATGAACCACCTCCTCATCAACGTGAGGAAGACCAAGGAGATGAACCACCTCCTCATCAACGCAGGGAAGACCAAGGAGATGAACCACCTCCTCATCAACGTGAGGAAGACCAAGGAGATGAACCACCTCCTCATCAACGTGAGGAAGACCAAGGAGATGAACCACCTCCTCATCAACGTGAGGAAGACCAAGGAGATGAACCACCTCCTCATCAACGTGAGGAAGACCAAGGAGATGAACCACCTCCTCATCAACGTGAGGAAGACCAAGGAGATGAACTACCTCCTCATCAACGTGAGGAAGACCAAGGAGATGAACTACCTCCTCATCAACGTGAGGAAGACCAAGGAGATGAACCACCTCCTCATCAACGCGAGGAAGACCACGGAGATGAACCACCTCCTCATCAACGTGAGGAAGACCAAGGAGATGAACCACCTCCTCATCAACGCGGGGAAGACCAAGGAGATGAACCACCTCCTCATCAACGTGAGGAAGACCAAGGAGATGAACCACCTCCTCATCAACGTGAGGAAGACCAAGGAGAGAACTACCTCCTCATCAACGTGAGGAAGACCAAGGAGATGAACTACCTCCTCATCAACGTGAGGAAGACCAAGGAGATGAACCACCTCCTCATTAACGTGAGGAAGACCAAGGAGATGAACCACCTCCTCATTAACGTGAGGAAGACCAAGGAGATGAACCACCTCCTCATCAACGTGAGGAAGACCAAGGAGATGAACCACCTCCTCATCAACGTGAGGAAGACCAAGGAGATGAACCACCTCCTCATCAACGTGAGGAAGACCAAGGAGATGAACCACCTCTTCATCAGCGCGGGGAAGACCAAGGAGATGAACCACCTCCTCATCAACGTGAGGAAGACCAAGGAGATGAACCACCTCCTCATCAACGTGAGGAAGACCAAGGAGATGGTGGTGGATTTCCGTAGACGTCACTCTGCCGCTCCAGCCCCAGTGAACATCCAGGGAAAGGACATCGAGAGAGTGGACTCTTACAAGTTCCTGGGTGTTCATCTGAACCACAAACTGGACTGGACTCATAACACAGACGCCCTCTTCAAGAAGGGCCAGAGTCGCCTCTACCTACTGAGGAGGCTCAGGTCTTTTGGCGTGCAGGGGCCACTCCTGAAGACCTTCTATGACTCTGTGGTGGCATCAGCCTCTTGTACGGTGTGGTCTGCTGGAACAGCAGTATCACAGAGAAGGACAGGAAGAAGCTGGAACATCAGGAAGTCCAGCTCAGTCCTGGGCTGTTCCCTGGACACAGTGCAGCAGGTGGGGGACAGGAGGGTCCTGAGCAAACTAACATCTATGCTGGACCATGACTGTCGCCCCCTGCAGGACACTCTCTCTGCTCTGGAGAGCAGCTTCAGTGACAGACTAATTCACCCTCGATGTGTGAAGGAGAGGTTTCGCAGGTCTTTCCTTCCTGCTGCTGTCAGACTGTACAACAAGAATGTGTAACAGGAACTGCTGAGTCTGCACAAGTGTTTCTGATAATTCACTAGTAACTTTGTCACTAGTCACTTTACCTGTTATCAGTACTACTACAGTACTACATATCTGATATTTACTGTTATCAGTACTACTGTATTATTTCATATCTGATAATTCTGCCTTCCACCGTCACTTTGCCTGTTGATATTATTTCTGATGCTTATTCTGCTCATATTCTCATATTCTCCGCTGCTAATGTATAATATAGACATCTGTAAATACTTCCGAACCAAGTGCAATTGTAGCCCAGATTTTCTTATTTTATTTTATTTAATTTTATCTTAAATTTATTGTCTATTATCTTAAATAATAGACTTTGATGTGTGCAATCTGAGTGCTCTTATTTCCTTTCTCTGCTGTAATGTGCAACGATGACACTGAAATTTCTCCACTGTGAGACTAATAAAGGTTTATCTTATCTTATCTTATTTGTGTTATTGAGTGTAGCTAGTTCCGATAGCTTCTCTCACACAGACAGAAGTAGTGACGTAGCCCGATGTGACAAAGTGGCCGGAACTACTTGCGGAGTAATCTACACATGAAGTACGAGCTGAGAGTGTGTTGCCAAAGGGCAGCTGCCATTATTGTCTTGAGAGATCAGTTATCAAGAAATAATGACCGGTAGAATACTTTGAAATGACTTTGAAATCAATGGAGCGTTCTCCTGCTGAGAGGAGCTGTGTGATAAGATTAAATAGACTTTAAGGAACTTTGATGGAGAAATGTCACATTTGGCACAGATAGAATAGAAGTCAACAGACTCATCCTTTGCTTGTGGGTGAAGTGTCTTGCCCAAGGACACAAGGACAGTCAGGCCCTATTTTTCTCCACTGTGGCTCCTGGTGTTCCCAGAGGTCTTCCCTTCATCACAGGACATTCCAGCGTTGCAGTGCACATCACAGAGCAGTGGAATTCTAAGTCTCACAATCATGAGATTTTAGAAAGTCTGTTTGGTCAAATTGTGTTTTCAGCCGAGTTGCAATAAATCTTTCCTCCCTGACAGGCTGTGCTCTATAAATCCTTTTTTCCATCAAAAATAATCTGTTGGCTGCTGAAATATGTGGTTGGCTCGAGTCCAACAATTGATAAATGGACTAAATGAAGGAGCAGAGCGATAATTACACAACACACTTTATATTTAAGACCAACACATGTACGTCGCTCGGGAGACAGTTTAAATTTAGTCTTTCTTATCTGACCGAATATGAAATAGACTTATGTAGTCCAAGAGCACCTTTACCTGTCAGCTGTGGCGTTGTTAAAGCTGGAAGTGTGGAAATAACAGAGGCTGGAGCACTTATCCAGGTCTGAGGCGCTTCAAACAGTCTATTAACCCGAGCTGTGACCCCTGAAGCCGGCGCAGACCCTGGATGTGTGTCCGGCTTTTACTGTGGGACTACAGCGAGTCCTACTGAGGGGAGGAGGCAGATTAGAACCCACTGCTCTGAACTGGCTGGTCTGAACCCACTGCTCTGAACCCGCCGGTCTGAACCCGCCGGTCTGAACCCGCTGATCTGAAGAGTTGGCCGTCGGTATGAGACGAGTGTTTGATTCTAGCTCTGCAGAATCTAAGGCTGAGGAAGTTATTGTTTTTTTCCTGACATTTTTCTCTCCCTTTAATTCACCATGACTTTATACAACAGATTATTTAGAAGAATAAACTACAACACAGACAGGGGGCGACAGTAGCTCAGTTGGTCTTTGGACCTAATGGTGGTGGGTTCAAGCCCACCACGACCCATGTCACCTGACCAAGGCCATGTCTTCGCTGACGAAGAATAAAATAATGAGGAGCAGTTGTATGAAAGTAGCTCTCTGCCTCTTCTTCTGTTGTATAAAAGTAGCTCTCTGCCTCTTCTTCTGTTGTATGAAAGTAGCTCTCTGCCTCTTCTTCTGTTGTATGAAAGTAGCTCTCTAAGAAAGGTTGGAGACCCCTGTTCTAGATAAAGTGATTGATTGAAGAACTCTCTTTTACAAATCTACGTTGGAGAGTCACGTTCACAGACTTCAATCATTTCCTCCTGCAGCTCTGATATTAGTAATAAACTGCTGAGACGAGCGTTCGGAAAACTAGCAGTGGAGTGATTGCAATGATCCGGGAGCTCTCTCCATGAGGCCCGGCTTCAGAGAGAGCTCTGCACCTGTACACACTCCACACGCCAACAACACACTCCACACGCCAACAACACACTCCACACGCCAACAACACACGCCACACGCCAACAACACACTCCACACGCCAACAACACGGACGATACTTTTCCCGTGCTCTGGGATTTTGGCCGACCTGATTTGCTTCCCCTCAGAGGAGCCGCCAAGCGTTCTTCCTAATCCCGATGTCAAGTGTGACTAAAGTGGATCAAGCCGTTTTTTTTTGTTCAAGGCTCAAATTGTGTCAGCACTTGCCCATGTTCACTCGGGAAAACTGAAGTTTTGGCAAGACGAGGAGGTAACCGAGAAATGTGGTTTGTAACGCAACTCGCCAATCCTAATCCACCACAAACGGTCAGCTATAACCCCGGCCCACATTACAGCTGTTGCTAACCCCGGCCCACATTACAGCTGTTGCTAACCCTGGCCCACATTACAGCTGTTGCTAACCCCGGCCCACATTACAGCTGTTGCTAACCCCGGCCCACATTACAGCTGTTGCTAACCCCGGCCCACATTACAGCTGTTGCTAACCCTGGCCCACATTATTCAGAGGGGGCTTCAGGCAAAGTGGGGTTTAGTCTCTTGCTCAAGGACACAACGGCAGCAGCCATCAGTGGGAGTTGTGGAGTAGGTCTTGTGGTGGGCTTGAACCCACGGCCTTCAGGCTCTAAGGCCAATGCTCTACACACTGAGCCACTGTCGCCCGTTATTGCTCTCACACAGGGAAAATAGAATTAACATTATGTTTTGATTCAAACTGTGTGTTGACGTGTATGTGCGTGTATGTATGTGCGTGTATGTATGTGTATGTGCGAGTATGTATGTGTATGTATGTGTATGTGCGTGTATGTATGTGCGAGTATGTATGTGTATGTGCGTGTATGTATGTGCGTGTATGTATGTGTATGTGCGAGTATGTATGTGTATGTATGTGTATGTGCGTGTATGTATGTGCGAGTATGTATGTGTATGTGCGTGTATGTATGTGAGAGTATGTATGTGTATGTGCGAGTATGTATGTGTATGTATGTGCGTGTATGTATCTGTGTGTGTATGTGCGTGTATGTTTGTGTATGTGCGAGTATGTATGTGTGTGTGTATGTATGTGTATGTGCGTGTATGTATGTGTATGTGTGGGTATGTATGTGTATGTATGTGCGTGTATGTATCTGTGTGTGTATGTGCGTGTATGTTTGTGTATGTGCGTGTATGTATGTGTGTGTGCGTGTATGTATGTGTATGTGTGTGTATGTGTGTGTGCGTGTATGTATGTGTTTGTGCGTGTATGTATGTGTATGTGCGTGTGTGTATGTGTGTGTGTGTGTGCGTATGTGTATGTGTGTGTGCGTGTATGTATGTGTTTGCGCGTGTATGTATGTGTATGTGTGTGTGTGTGCGTGTATGTATGTGTGTATGTGCGTGTATGTATGTGTATGTGTGTGCGTGTATGTGTGTGTGCGTGTATGTATGTGTGTATGTGCGTGTGTGTATGTGTGTGTGTGTGTGTGTGCGTATGTGTATGTGTGTGTGCGTGTATGTATGTGTTTGCGCGTGTATGTATGTGTATGTGTGTGTGTGTGCGTGTATGTATGTGTGTATGTGCGTGTATGTATGTGTATGTGTGTGCGTGTATGTGTGTGTATGTATGTGTGTATGTATGTATGTATGTGTATGTGTGTGTGTATGTGCGTGTATGTATGTATGTGTATGTGTGTGTATGTGCGTGTATGTATGTATATGTATGTATGTGTATGTGTGTGTGTGCGTGTATGTATGTGTGTATGTGCGTGTATGTATGTGTATGTGTGTGCGTGTATGTGTGTGTATGTATGTGTGTATGTATGTATGTATGTGTATGTGTGTGTGTATGTGCGTGTATGTATGTATGT